AACAGGCTGTGCGATCTAGTAGGCAATATCTCACTTGATCAAGGACAGTTGTGTATTAAAGATTGAGAGGGAGTGCTGGCGAGAGGGTACAACAATAGAAATATCTGAAAATACAGTTAACAAGTAATTTACCTTTAAAGTGTCTGTAAACCCTAAAAAACATCTCTTTTTTGCTCCATTCGGTCTGCTAAATATATAATTGAAAGCTTTTGGTTATATCTGTTCCATATTTTCAAAAACACCAGGTAACTTTACCAGAAATCTAGTGAGCTAATAATCTCACCATGTGGTCTGCCAGTGCCCATTATATGGGGTTACTGAGGTAAGACTAGGTCTGTATTATTTGTAATGAGTTAGAAAATATACAGTTGGTGGAATTTACTAAAGCCGGTGCAGACAGAATCTGGAGCAGTTGTGCATAGTAACCAATAAGCTTTTATCTTCAGCTTGTTTGGTTAAGCTTTGCAAATGAAAGCTAAAAGCAGATTTGTTGCCATGCACAGCTGCTCCAGATTCTGTCTGCTCCAGTCTTAGGAAAGCATATTTAAATTCTGGCATATCAAGTTATTTTTTTGCACTTGCAGTTTGTTTAAAAGGATAAAACATGGGGAATTGTGCATATCTTGCAGAGGTGTAAAAAAGTTTTTTTATTTGCTTTGACACACTTTAAAAACCATATCTTCCTGTGCTCATAAATGTGACCTTAGCTCAGTCAGTAGGAATTTAGTTGTGGTCGTGCTTGTTCTGGCACAGGGATGCACAGGTATTGTGTGCATCCCAGTGCCGGCAGTCCCAAAGCTGCCAACTGGGATGCAGCGGCTACACAGATACAGCTGTTGCTCCTAATGTGACATTCGCGCAGGTGCATGGCCCTGAATGCACCCAAGGTGAGTTGGGGGGACACACCCACACGGATGTCATATTGGGAACAATGGCTGTGTCTGTGCCCCAACAAACATGAATGAGACTGTCTGCACAGGGATGCACGCAACACCTGTGCATCCCCATGCGGGTAAACACAGCCCTTACTCTCCTGGAGATAACAAAGACAAAGTGAACACTGGAAACAAAACAGCTCTGGATTTATGATATATAATCAACAGGTATTTTTTTTACAACTATCAGATGTAACAAAATGCTTTCAATAGTAAATATAACAGACCAAAAGGGAGCAAATAGAAGCTTACAGTTAGAGTTTACATACACTTTAAGCTAATCTTTCACTGAGAGGTAAGTAAGCACCAGAGTGGGGTGTCCTAGGCTAGGGGGGATGGGCAGATTTTTTTTCTTTAAAGCAAGTATAGATGTACCTCAAGACAATTATTTTTTTTAAAGTATTTAGAGAGTGAGTAAGGGCTAGAAACATGGTCAGGTTTCCAATGCTGTTTGTGTTCCTAGTAAAGAGATTTCCCCTCACTTCCTGTTCTGACATCAATCATCTGCAATAGAAATGAGAAGAAATCCTGACAGAGTATCCAAACATTTTCTACTCCAAAGAGCTTTTAGCAGATTTTTCTTTTTTTTTTTTTTGTTAGAGGTTTCATTAAGCTGGCCATACACTGATCAAAATTTGACTGCTGCAGCAGGACCAGTCATATTTCGATAAGTGTGGCGTTTCCTCATTCAACAGCAAGCCATATGATCAAAGGTAGATATGATTCATTTACACACTCATCTCTTACACCCCGGTCACAACGGGTGCGACTTGGCATGCCATGCAACTTGCAAAGTGTATGCTAAGTCGCACCTCATTGTTCGCAATTAGAGTGGTCAAATCAGTGCGGTTCCGACTTGGTCGGAGCCGCACCGATTTCAAAAGTAGTACATATACTACTTTTGGTGCGATTTGTATAGACATCTGTGTCAGATGTCATGCAAAGCGCACCTGAAATTGGCATCTCACCTGACTTTGAAATTGTGAAACTTACAGTGAAGTCGCACGATTTCAAAGTCATGTGACCGGGGAGTTACTGCTTTACCCATCTCCTCTTGATGGAGTGAATAACACTTTAAAAACATTTCAAAGCTGAAAAGCACAGAATTAGGTAATGGACATTTAACAGCTGTTGCTGAAGGATAAGTACAAAAAGCATGAAAGGTTGAAAGGTAATTGAAAATGGTAAATTTGTACTTTAAAGAATAACTCTTAAGTGCTATATGCATTTAAACTGAGAAAATAAGACAACCACAGTGCAATTCATGAACAACAACAACCCTCTCTGTGAAAGGAAAAAAACAAAACAAAAAAAAAACAAAAAAAAAAACACTGTTTATGGTATCCCTAGCTTCTAACAGTCACAGACATGTGAAAGAAATAATAAAAAAAACAGAAACACAAATAAAGAGCCTCTCCTCCACATGTCAACTGTATGGGTAGGCACAAAATACAAAATGCCTTCCACTGATTTTACAATACAGCGGGCACAGACAAAAATAGTTTTTGATTTAAGAGTCCAGTGGATTTGCATATTAGCAGCCCTCCCAGCTTTAGAAACAGACAAAACTGTTAGATGTATTTGTTTTTCTTTTCCAGTAAGGAAGTGCTGTTGCTGCAGTCATTTGAACAGCAGTAAGAAAAGAACTTTGTAACAACTACCCTATCTCAGCAGTAACATAGTACAAAATGTTTAATATTTAAAAGGAATGTAAGGTTGGGGAGCACTTACATTGTGACCTAAAATCCTGGAGTAACCAGGTTAAACTTGTGACCTTGAAATGTAATATTACAAACCTTACAGTTACAGGATGGGAAATAATTGATCTTTTAGCAAAATAGGGAGACAGGAGGTACAAATAGGATGGGCGTGCAAACACACCACTTCACTCACACTCATGTAGACTCTTGCACACAGACCAGGAGGGTTTGGGTTATCCCTGCATACAGGGAAAGGGCAAGTGCAGAGAAGGACGGAGAGAAAAGAGCTATGCCAGGATATTTGACATGAATTCAATGAAGCGTTTGGAATACTGCTCTGGATTCACTGTGGAAATTTCTGCTCCAGCCTGAAAAAGAACAAAAAGATATACTAATGTAACAGGGGGTTGGGTATTTAAAGAGCCACTAATATCCATGCAATATAAACATAAAAAAAACAAAAAAATAATAAATACATTTCAATGGGCAGTGTTAACATTAGCAGATTTTTTTTTAGTAGATAGGTTTAAATGCGTGTAATGTCAGGTCTACTTAAAGAACAAAAATTTAACCTGCTGCAGTTTACTAGTCATTTGGCGAGGTGGCTGCATTTGTTTATTTGTAAGGCTTAGTACATTTTCTAAAAATAATGAAAAAAAAATTTTTTTATTTTTTATTACTCACCATAAAATCCCTTACTCTAGGTTCATTGACTAACAAAACCTCTTTACTTTCTCGACCATAGGGTTTATATTGCCACCTACAGGAGTAGGACACTAGGCAGAAAAGAAACTCGGCACAGTCTATAAGTAGTCCTGGCTGTCGGAATGACAGCAGCCAATCATACTGAAAAAAGACTGCATATATAAGTATAGGAAAAGTTATTTCTGCATCCAAGCATATAGCCAAGTGCTGTTTTTGCATCTGACCAAATAAATCAAAGCGCACAGTGCTGTGTAAAGAGCAGGAGGAATGACTGTTAAACCTACATGTTTTTGTGGGGATAGGATCAGAGATCACTTGGAATATTTGAATAATCAGAATACAGTGTTTTGTGCAACATAAAAGATGATTGCTAAAGCTATAGGTGGTATTACTATTTGCAGAGATGGTGGTTATTTTGGGAGTACAAGAATCTGAGTGAAGAATCCTGTGTAAAGGATAACAGGGGTGATTGCGCAGACTACAATTGTTCTGCGTATGTGCATGTATGTAAAGCATCGAGAGGACAGAGCAGCGGTTCCTAAGGGTGTGTGCTGACATCTAAATAATTATACTTGTTTGTATACCTTAAGAAAACATATCTACCCCGAGTGGCAACCTACAGGGAACGTCGGCAATGAGCTGCACAACCTTGGCGTACCAGGGTCGGCGAGAAACTAGAAAGGAGGAAATGCATAAATGAGACTATATCTACCCTACAGCGCCAGCAAGGCTACTGGTACATCAAGCAAGGGATCCCTCACCCTTGCCATGAATCTTGATACCTTCCTATTGAAACAAGACACCAGGAAGTTTACATCCAGAGTGCCCCACCATAGGCAGAGATGACTCTCCTTGATCCAGTGTCTGTTGGTTGAGGTAGTCCGCCTGCCAATTTTCCACACTTGGAATGTGTATGATAGACAGAGCCAGTACATGACATTATATCCACCAGAGAATGCCTGAGGCCTCCAGCACCACTGCCGCACTCTTCATCCTGCCATGGTGGTTGACCTAGGCCACAGCAGTGGCATTGTCCAACTGGACCCTGACCAGGCACCCTCGGAAAAACCCTGTCCACCGTTCCAGACAGTCTGATCTCCCGGCGTTCCAGAACATTGATTGGCAGACGGGATTCCTCCGGCGTCCAGTGATCCTGGGCCGAGTTTGACCCCAAACCCCTCCCATCAACCGGAAAGGCTGGCGTCTGTTGTGATCCTTAACGATCCTTAGTTTTTCATATTATTACAAAAATTCCATAAGAAGAGAGACACAAAACATATACCGTATTTTCCAGCGTATAAGACGACTTTTCAACCCCTGAAAATCTTCTGAAAAGTTGGGGGTCGTCTTATACGCCGGTGCGAGCCGGTGTCAGGGGGGCACTTTTTCGAGGGGCGGCGCGGTGCCGCCCCCCCTCCTCCTCCAACGGACACTAAGTACAGGGGTGGGCAGAGGGGCTGCTGTACCTTACCTGGCTCCGGTCCCACGACGATCCGGTCCAGGAAGCACGGCTGCTCCTTTCAGTTTGGTCACGCGGCCGCTCGGCTCTGCCTCCTCACCGGTGATTGGGCGCCAGCACTGGAAAGGCACACAGGCGACCAATCACCGGCGAGGAGGCGGAGCCCAGCGGCCCCGCGAAAATCGAGCGGCCGAACTGGAAGAAGGAGCAGCCGCTCCTCTTCCCCACTGACACCAACGATGGGGCACTATTCCTCCTCCACACTGACACCAACGATGAGGCACTGTTCTCCCCCACTGACACCAACGATGAGGCACTGTTTCCCCCACTGACACCAACGATGAGGCACTGTTCTCCCCCCTGACACCGATGAGGGCACCAACTGCACTTCTCCCCCCTGACCACTGAGGCACTGTTCTCCCCCACTGACACCAACGATGAGGCACTGTTCTCCCCCACTGACACCAACAATGAGGCACTGTTCTCCCCCACTGACACCAACAATGAGGCACTGTTCTCCCCCACTGACACCAACGATGAGGCACTGTTCTCCCCCACTGACACCAACGATGAGGCACTGTTCCTCCCCCACTGATACCAACGATGAGGCACTGTTCCTCCCCCACTGATACCAACGATGGGGCACTGTTCTCCCCACTGATACCAATGATGGGGCACTATTCCTCCTCCCCACTGACACCAATGATGGGGCACTATTCTTCCCACTGATACCAATGATGGGGCGCAATTTCCACTGACCCCAATGATGGGACACGATTCTTCCCACTGACACCAATGGGACACGATTCTTCCCACTGACACCAATGATGGGGCACGATTCCTCCCACTGACTAATGATGGGGCACCATCATTGGTGTCAGTGGGAGGAATAGTGTCCCATCATTGGTATCAGTGGGAGGAATAGTGCCCCATCATTGGTGTCAGTGGATGAAATAGTGCCCCATCATTGGTATCAGTGGGAGGAATTGTGCCCCATCATTGGTGTCAGTGGGAGGAATAGCGCCCCATCATTGGAATACCATACTGAAATAGCATACCATATTGAAATCAAATCTGATGTTTTTTCATTTTTATTTGGTGTGCGTTGGAAGAGGGGTAGTCTTATACGGCGAGTATAGCTCAAAACCTATATTTTAACAGGAAAAGTAGGGGGTCGTCTTATACGCCCAGTCGTCTTATACGCCGGAAAATACGGTAAATAATCAATACATTTCTACTTTGCCCCCTTCTAATTACCTCTTTTCTTTCCCTCCCCTCCCAACCCACCTCTCCCAACCCATCTCTACCCCCCCTCCCCCTCCCTCCCCTCTGCAAGATCTCCAATCTCTCAAGACCCAATATCTTTAAATAACTTCCTAGTTTAAAATGTTAAGATTTTCTATATTTCTCTTTCAATCCTGATTTTTCCCATTTTTCCCATCGCGAATAGTATATTTCCAACCTGTCTTCCTGCATTTAGTATGATTTTTCCATTCTACTAATCTGGTTTACCCTATTGATCCAATCCTCCTCCATCGGCACCTCTGTCTTCCGCCAAAACTTGGGTATCAACCCTTTTGCAGCACTTAAGTAGTACCATACACCTGATTCTTTATATTTATTTACTGTTGTCTCAACATTATGTAGGAGACACAAGGTTGGGTCTAACCCTATGTCATTTCCAGTTATTATTTCTATTAATTTAACTATTGTCTTCCAGAAAACCTGAATTTTTGGACATTGCCACCATATGTGAAACACCGTGCCCTCCTCCCCACATCCTCTCCAACACATTTTTGAATTCTCCCCACTCATCCTGTGCTCCGTGCTCGGTGTAATATGCCATCGTGTCAAACATTTATAGTTAATCTCAACGTCTCTCATACTAACACTCTCGTGTACCAGTCTAAATATCTTATTCTGTTGATCCTCATCTATCACCACCTCTATATCTCTTTCCCAATTTGTTATAAAAACTAACTTTGTGTCTGTGTCTAATTCTGTGAGTATTCTATAAATTTGTGTAACACCGTGTTTCCCATCTCTACGTGTTTCTAATAGCCTTTCAAACATATTCCACTCCTTTTTTAATCTCAAGGGTTTTGGGAGACTTCCAATGAAACATTTTAATTGGTGATATTTCCACTCGTCTATTCTAGTAAACATATCCCCCCCCCCCCCCTCTTTTAATTCTTTAAATGTTCTCAATTCCCCCTCTACCAATACATCTCTCAATTGGATATCTTCCTTTTTAAGCCATCTCCCTGATATCTCATCTTTTCCTGGAGGGAAAAACTCTGTATTTGCAAGAGGCATTAATATAGAGTTGAATTCCCATTTCATGTGTTTATGTAAATTATCCCATGTCCTTAAAACGTTTAAAGTGAAAGTGCTTGTGTTTTCTTTAATTCTTCTATAATGTGCTGGGACCCATATCATCTTACTCAAACTAATTCCACTCAGTTCGTTTTCTATTTTTACCCAACTTTTTCCCTTATGGTTAAATGTCCAATCATATATTCTTGCTAAAATTACTGCTTTATAATATCTCTTGACATCAGGTAGTCCCATTCCCCCTTTCTCTTTAGTCCTACTTAGTGTTTTGTATGCTATTCTTGGTTTTTTATTCCTCCATATATATCTTGTTAACATTCTTCTCATTATCTTAAAAAACGCCTCTGGGAGTTTTAATTGGGACCATTTGAAATCTATAGAGTATTTTAGGTATAATTACCATTTTAACTAGGTTTATACGTCCTAACCATGATGGATTTCCTCCCTCTAATCTTTTTAATTCATCCTTAATCTCATTTATCAGAGAAATATAGTTTAATCCATACAGTTGTTTATATGAGGTAGCAAGTTTTATTCCTAGGTATTTTATATCTTTTTCTCTCCATATAAAGGGGAAATTCTTTTTGTAACTTTTCTTTTTCGCTCTTTGGTATATTAATGTTCAGAATCTCTGTTTTTGTTGGGTTAATTTTTAAATTTGATAGTTCACCATATTCCTTCAGGATCTTCATTATACTTGGTAATGTTATTCGGGGTTGCCTACATAAAACAATAGGTCGTCCGCAAAGGCCGCTACTTTATGTTCTACATTTTCTATCTGGATTCCCCTTTACCGCTCCATTATTCCTTATTGACAACAGGGGTTCCAATGTTAAAACATACAACAAGGGGACAATGGGCAGCCCTGTCTTGTTCCATTGGACATCCCAATGGATTCCGACCTCTCCCCATTTACCGTGATGATTGCGGTGGGCTCCCTATATAATTTACCTATCCATTCATGCATTCTCTCTCCAATCCCCAACACTTCCAAGTTGTCCATCATAAAGCCCCAGTCCACTCTATCAAACGCCCTTTTCGGCATCAATTGACAAGAGCACCACCGGGGCTTTCCCTTTTTCTACTTTTCTGAATAAGCATCAAAGTTCTCAGCCCATTATCTCTACCCCTCTCTCCCTGGGACAAAGCCCACCTGATCTCCATGGATCCATTCAGGCATTAGTTCTTTCAGCCTGTTTGCTAAAACCTTTGCGTACAACTTGGTATCAGTGTTCAATAATGAAATTGGTCTGTAGCTAGAGCACTGAGAAGGATCTTTTCCCTCCTTATGAATGAGCACTACATGGGCCTGAAGGGATTCCCTCCTCCCCTCCATCCCACCTCCCAAGTCATTCATATACTTCTTCAACTTCGGTAACAGTAATTCACTAAATTTTTTATAGTACTTAACTGTATAACCATCCGGGCCAGGGCTTTTCCCACCCCCTGTACTTCTTAATGCTACTTCTATTTCTTCCTGGGAAATTTCCGCATCTAAGGAGTTCAATTGTGTTTCACTGAGCTTTGGTAATCCCGCATTTTTTAAATATATCATCCTTTTTTCGTTAATACCTTCTCTAATTTCTTTTGGTGAACCTTGGTGACTAATGTTATACAACTTTCTATAATACTCCGTGAATACTTTAATAATTTCTTTAGTTGAGTGGAACAACTCCCCCTTAGGACTTTTTATCTTTTCTATATAAATTCCTGTTTTTTCTTTTTATTCAGGGCTCTCATTAAGTATTTTCCTGGTCTATCTCCCCATCTGTATCTCTCACTTAATACTTTGTTGTATACTCTTCTCCTCTCCTCTTCCATCAATCTCTCTAACTCGCCTTTTTTATCCATTAACTTCTGTCTTTATTTCTGTTGTTATTTTCTTCTTATGTATCTGTTCCAAGTCCAAAATTTCCTTTAGGAGTCCACTAACCTTCTCTCTTCTTTCTTTTTTCTTCCTTGCTCCTATCGCAATCAAGATTCCTCTTATATATACCTTATGGCTTTCCCATACTGTAGCTGTCGATACTTCCTCTGTCTCATTCTCCTTGAAATATACCTTAATCTCTTCCCTGATCTTCTGCACAATATCCTCATCCAAGAGAAGAGCCTCATTTAACCTCCATCCTAAGCCTCCCGTCCACCTTCTTCCCCATCCTATTTTCATTATGACAGGGGCATGATCCGAGAAAGTTCTTGTCTCTATTTCTATTTTAACCAGCAGTTCAATGAATTGATGATCTATTAAAAAGTAATCCAGTCTCGAGTATATCTCATGTGCATTAGAGAAGAAGGTATAGTCTCTGTCTTTCAAAAGCATTATTCTCCAGGTGTCCACCAGTTGGTACTCGTGGATCACCTTTTTCAAAGCTCTCAGAGACCTACCCCCCTCTCTCTGCACAAGGGAGGTTGCATCCTTTTGTGGGTCCATACAGAGATTTAAATCTCCTGCTATTATCAAACGCCCTTTTTTTAAAATCTATCAATTTTTTCAGCAGACCCTTCAAAAAGATCTCCGGTTTCTTCTTGTTGTGGCAATATATATTGGCTAGTGTACACTCAATTCCCTGTAGTTTACCTTTCAAAAACAGGAATCTCCCCTCCGGATCAGTCTATCTTCCAGCTCAAATCTCATTCTTTGCCAAGCCTATTGCCACCCCCTTTGCTCTTTTAATTGGAGAGTCAGCGTAATACCATGTTGGATAATATTTAGATTTTAGTTTCACATTTGACTATCTCAAAGTGTGTCTCCTGTAAAAATACCACTGACGTTGCCCTGTGATGTAACTCTTTAAACAACTTAAATCTTTTCCCAGGACAATTCAACCCATTCACATTATATGTTATAAACTGTATTTCTTCCATCTTTCATGAGTCTGTCTATCTCTCTTCTAATTCGTCTCCTCCTATTAGGCCCAACTATCTTGCAGAATATTAGCCCCATAACCCCCCTCCCCCCCAACCCAACCCCCAACCCCCCCCCCCCTCTTATTTTTCCCCTACCCATTCTTTGGCTTATAAACTGCCTACAAATCATTTGTGGAACTATTTCCACGGTTGATTTAAAATATTGGGCGCAAGCTCCGCCCATGGACGGCTCACCTCTCCTCCAACTTCCCCAGTTCACCTATTCTCTATCAACTGGGCTCAGCAATAACCTTTACTTCCCCCCCTTAACCGGAGCTTCCAGAGGGACCACCACTTCAACAGGGGGGGTACAAGGGGGGGAAGAGGAGAAAAGAGAGAGAAGAAGAAAAGCATATTTTTTTCCTAATTCTCCCTCCCCCTTCCCCCCAACCCCAAGGCCTCCCTCCCCCTCCCCCCGACCCGCTGCCAGTCCTCCTTTCTTATATCAACCGTAACTCCTTTTTCTTCTTCTTCCCACCCAGCTATCTCCATTCTTTGCAAGTCCGGTCTATCGCAAAAATCTCTCAGTTCGTCCGGGAATCTCAGATATGCTGTGACCCCATTTTTCCAGCCAATTAGAAATACTGAGG